ACATAAATCGAAATAGATTAAACGGTTAACAAGTATAATGACAAAAGTTAAAAATAAAACGAAATCATGTGGTTTATACATCTATGAAAACCAGTAGATATATAAATATGAGTGTTGAGAAAAACTTATTCAGAAAATTCGGCATGTCGTTAGATATGCATTGTTTTGTCTATTGACCAAATGAAAATATTTGTTTTACATTGAGTGTCGATTGTAAATTTTGATACAAATAGATCAATAAAATGTTGTACTATCATTCTTCTATCAATGGATGATCAAACCAGTCTAGATGTCGTTGATAATGTAAGGTATATTATAAAATTCACATAATCGTGTTTCTGACAATGTTTAAGTAAGCAGTGAGAAAAATCTTGTTAGAACGAAATGTTCAATACATGAACAATTGAATGTCATAGAAATGTTATAAGTAAAATTCTTTTCACAATTAGTATCTTGAATATTGTAAAATATGGAATTTCACGATTGTTGTATTCAGTTGATAATGTGTTGTATTGAACAATTTTAACTGCGTTCGTAAAATGGAATAAATGTGGAAACCTCGGACTTAAGTCCGAGAGTTATGTGTACTTCAAAAAGTGAATGAGACAAATCAGTCATCCTAGAATGTGCGAATATACAAATTAACCTGACAAACCTTTTCTATAAACATTTGAATTCTATTGACTACTGCTCAACCAATAGGATTTGGGGGCGAATACAGCTGAGATTTGAACTCTTCGCCTTAATTTACCCTCAGAAAGTCGTTTTTTCTATGACTTAATTTCTATTGGTCAGTGCTCAACCAATAGGGTTTTGAAACAATTGGAGTACAGATTCGAGTTCTCAACGCCAGAAAACCTTCAAGCATCACCTCTTACCGGAAGATAGTGCTCTAATTGTGGATCAGTTAGAGCGTGGACAAGAACAAAACCGATTTTCGTTTATTTATCTTTGCAATAGGTGAGCTAGCCTTCTTGTTTCTTTATGTTTTATATACCAGTTGGTAGCTCGTAAAATTCTCTATGGAATGGTATATAATAATTGGGGTTTTGCTTGAGTATGATAGGAAAATTTTTTTACGAAAACGGGGATGGGTCGATTTTCGCATAGAAAGCCATAGGGAAAAATGAGTATTTTTGAAATAACTCAGGAATGGTTCGGCCAATTCTACCCATCTTCGAACTCGACCGAGACATTGTTAAGACTGAACTGTGTAGAAAATTTCACCGCGATCGGACTCTCCTTTCAAAAGTTATCGTGTAAACGGCCGGGCGGCCGGACGGACACACTAACCGATTCTAGAGTGTACTCACTTTTTGAGTACACAATAAAATTGTTGACATGTTCTTCTTTTTGATAATGGTCTTGTGTATGTTCAACGATATACTTGACGTCAGTAATTCTCTTTATAATACGAAATGGACCATGATATCGAGGATCTAGTTTCGAACGACTAGACAATATTTTTATTCATA